TAGCCCTGGACATACAGCAGGTGCTCAACACACCTGGGAGGGACCAAGAGGCTCAGCTAGCCACACCACTGAAGGAAACGAGGGAGAATCAAGAGCTCTTTAGTGCCTTGGGCTGATCCAGTTAGTAGCCAATCCACACAAAACAGGAGCACTAGCTGGGGACTACAGGAGCACAGATCTACAAAATACAATAACTACCTTCACACCAGTAAGAGCTCTTACTAAGGGCTCATATCCTGTGTCCAACATGGCTTCCAACACTTTACATGTATTAACTTGCTTTCACAACCGCCTTGTGAGGGATGTACTATTAACAGATCATCCTCTTATAGATGTGTAAACTGATGCACCAAGAAACTGGGTAACTTTCCCAAGGTTAAACAGTTGCTAGGTAGGAGTTGGGACTCAACACCAGGCAGTCAATTTCTAGAATCCAGGCTTCTAAAGTCTATACCGCATTGCCCTCTGGGGCCCTGACCTGAGCTCACGTGTTGTAATCCTTTGAGACCAAACTATGCCGACTCCACACGATATTTTTTCTCAAACAGAAAATTTTTAATGTAAAATTTTACCATTTTATTATTTTTATTATTTTTTTAAGGTTTACCCATTTTCGAGAGAGAGTGTGTGAGAGAGAGCAGGGGAGGGGCAGAGAGGGAGACAGAGGATCCAAAGTGGGCGCCTCACAGCCAGGAGAGCCCAATGCGGGGCTTGAACTCATGAACCGTGTGAGATCATGACCTGAGCAGAAGTCAGATGCTCAAACGACTGAGCCACCCAGGTGCCCCAAATGTTACCACTTTAAAAATGACTATCTTTGAATTAGCTCCTTCTCTAATAATTAATATATTTATTTGTATTAATATCAACATGTTTGAAGCCTTCCAGAGCTGTAAAAGAATCCTGTAAATCCTGTGTCGGTAAAATGTTCACAAACTCTCCAGAGAGGGAATGGGGCACAGCTGGTAACTGACTGGTGGACTGTGTTCCGATGAACTCTGCCATTAAAGATCTAGGTCCTCCACCCTAGACACACCCCACCAGAGACTAATTCAATGAGTTAGCCTGGATTTCTGTAGGGCAGAGCCACCAAGATTTTAGAATTACCACAAAGAAAACTCAATTTTTTTTAGTACCAACAAAAATTATATAGTTTGCTTTATAAAAGGGAGAAAAACCTAGGCATTGATTTCCACGGTTAATAATATCACAAAAAGGATAACCAGACGTTGTGTGCCTAAGACAAGAAGCACCCGTGGGCTCAGTGGGCTGAGTATCTGACTTGGGCTCAGGTCAAGATCTCACACTCTGTGAGTTCGGGCCCCACATCAGGCTCGCTGCTGTCAACACAGAGCCCACTTCAGATGCTCTATTCCCCTCTCCCTGTT